ATCTACATTTGGTAATTTGACGATGCTGTGGTGCTTCACAGAGCTCTAAAAGGATGATCCATTGGTTTGCGTGTAACCAAAGGTATGCAGAGATTGATTAATAGGACTGAAGTGTGGTTCTCTTCTCAGAACCAGACCACCTGCGATGCATTTCTTGAATCCCACTGATGGCCTAATGTCTGGCACTTGGAGTCGTAAATACACACGTTCTCGGCAACCTTTAGCTTCCAGACAACACTAACTAGCAGACTTTTGGAACTGGGAAATCAAAAGTAGAGACAGCAAAGCAGACACTCCTATGTCTCAACCGGAATCCCTGTGTAATAACACTGTGACAGACCAGTGTGATAAACATGAATCTCTGAAATGCAATGACTAAATAAAGGCCGACATTATAGGGAGACCTTCTGGTTAAGTTTAACTTCTTCCCAGCATCGCAGGCGACTTCTGAAATTAATCCCAAACTTTAAATCGAGGAGACCAGAGCCAGAAAAGGACAAAGCACCCAGATTGGCTTTTATATGTCCTCACATCACCTGACAAGAACACACACACATACGTCTGTCCTGCCAAAGCAAAAGGATATTCGTTAAACTTAAGACTTGTGAGGCCAGATGGGGCAATAAATAACAAAGACTTATTATGAGTCACCGAGCCCTGACCAACAGTTCCTGCTGACTGACATCCTGACAATGCAGACAGACACGGGACTGCTTGATGTCAAATAAAATGTGAGGGTTCCCAACTCAGTCAGAAGGCAGGGATGCATTGTGCTCATTTCCTCTGCAGGGTCCATCTCTCACATGCAATATTTTCATAACCGTGCCACTTGAAGTTCACAGCCAACACTTGATTTAGGGCTCCAACACAAACAGTTTTGGGTGAAGCTCAGGGTAGAGGGAGGCGTTTTAAAATAAATTGGACTCTGCAGGGCAAGGGGCTTCAGAGAAGACAAACAAGGAGGAAGCAGGAGATGATTAGAAGGGGAACCACAAGACCTCAGTGCCAGAGGTTAAGCAGCTTTCTCCAAGTGTTGCACTGTCGGTCACACCCGTTTGGACAGCACGATTGAGAACAGATCAACGTTCAAGAATGATTTTCTTCTCAAACTGGAGCAAAAATTAATGAGAAAACATTTAATTGGTTTAGTTCACTAAAAAAATAATTGCACACATATAGCCCACACCTAACTCTTCATCTTCCAAGCCTCCACTAGCCAGAACATTAATTCTGCTGATTGACCTATGTGACCGTAGTGAAGGTAGTAATAATCAGTGGGCTCCAAGCTGTACAGAACTTTGATCAGACATGTGCAGCTGATTAGATGAAGTCATTAACGCGAAGCCGCTCACGTACAGTCAGGTTTGGGGGTCTGGTGGGGGGTGGAGGCTTGCTCTGGGAAGCTTTGTCAACGTTGTCCAAAAACACTTCCTTTTCTAGCTAAAATGAAAGCAAAGAACTTTGTGTGGTTTTGATGGCAATATTTAAAACTAAATCATGGTGAAAAACAAGTATATTTTCCTTTTCAACATACTTTAATCTACAAGAATCATCTTGACTTTACCAAGAAACAGAGATGGATAACACAGTCCGTTTTATTTAACAAAAACTAACTAAGTGTGGAAGAAATTAATGTTGTTTGGATCATTAAATAAAATAAACTTGATCACCTGCAAAAGTGAATCTATAAACCTCTGTAAAAGCAGGGTTCTTTGGCAGTTTGCTACTGTGAAGCATACAGTTGTGTGCTACAAAAAGGAGGGAAGACCTCAGCAATTGAACTTCTCACAACTTCATCAATCCAGGAAAAGATGATGGATTCCTATAAATCATTAGTTAATGCAAAATAATGTAAATGAACAGCCTTTCTGAACAGTCCCAGGTTCCAAAGTAGGTTTTGGGAAAATTTTGAAAACTGAAAAAACTGAATTTTAGAATCCAGAGTTCCAATATTCAAATAGCCATATCTATTTATTTTTTTTATTTCTATGCATTTGACATCATTGAAAAACTTAGGAAATCTATGGCATATGTGGCTAGCCACAGCAAAAGCAGGAACAGGTCTGCTTGGGGATGCTTTGAGTTATTTACCAATTCTAAAAGTGTAGATTCTGTTATATTCAATTAAGGCCACTTTGCTGGCCAATCAAGCACAGTGACATTAGGGTTGATAATGTTGATATTAATACCTTTTGGCACGGTGACCAAGTGCCAAGTGGGGTTTAGGCATGAAATTTGTGTCTCCATAAAGCTGAGTCAGCAAAGGAAAACATAAAAAGCTGCAAGAATTCCAGGATCATCACAGACTGAAAGCCTCACACCGGTCTGTTAGCGAGGTAGATTCTGTGCCTCTCCACTCTTCCTCCAAACTCCCGGACATTCATTTCCAAATAAAGCCACACTTTACTTTGACCTGAAAAGAACAGCTTGGATTTCTGAGCAAGTCATTTTTTTCTGCATACAGAAGCACATTTTTATTGCCACACTGGAGGGTTTTAATGACAGGATATACACTTCAACGAGTCTTATCTTAAAAAGTTTCTACCTTCAGGGGACAATGTTTAAATGTTCTGTAAAAAATAAATAAATAAAACACACAAAATAGGGATGGTGAATTTGTCTCCTAATTAGGTCAGTAATCCTTTGTGATGCCACTGGCTCTTATTCATCAGTGTGGAAAATTGCCCATGCTTGGCTCATAGAATGCTAATAGAACAATGTCCTATAGATCAAGCTGCGATGCTGTACAGAAAATAGACGCCCAGAGGGGATAAAAAAAAAGAAAAATCAAAGAACAAATGACATCAGGCTCTGGAGGACTGAGTGGAGCATGTGGGTTGGTTGGGGGAAAGCTTGTGATGAATCAGGACAGGAAGTTTGTGTCGCCCATAGAGAAGTCTTTAAAGACTCTACGATGTGACAGAGGAAAGATGGGAGACCTTGTGTTTGGGTGACAAATGTTCTATTGTGTACCAGGGGAATACAAGAACACAGTTGAGTTTTTGTTGTGGGGAAGTAGACGATAAAAACACAATTGATAGTAGGATCAGATTGGACAGGAATGTGGAGGCTTTTCTATGTCGGACGAAAAAGCCTTTAGGCCCGACTGGCTTTGGGAGTGACATCATGTATCTCGGTATGCCCAAGAAGGAGCTCATCTCCTATTAACATCTAGATACAAATCCATAAAGAAATCTTAGGATCTGTCCTTTGTGCAATCCATTTCATATATAAAAAGAACAGCGATAAAGCAGACTACTCACTTAGGGTAGATGGATGTCATCTTGGCTGCTGCATATCCTGGTTTACACACCCCTTCACTGAGGTTGCCATACTTGTATGCCAACTCTGGTGGCCTATACATTAACAGAACACAGGGAAACATTCAGACACACCATGATAACTCATTAGCAGTAACAGAAACATATTTAAACCCTCAAAACTGAGCTTGTCAAACACTGTCAAGGAGAGTCAGAGCTGTCGATTGCTTAGGAACTTGAATAAGTCAGTGACAACTTTTCGTCTCATCTGTGTGTGGCGAGACAAAACAGTGAGACCCTTGTTTAAATAATCAAACCAGTGGTGCCAAGTCTAGAACCTCCCGATTACTACTACCATCATTAATAATCTGATGTGTGCTGTGATTTTAGTTCAAATAAACAGGGAGGGGAGTGGGGGGGGAAGAGAGAGAGAGACAAGGTCTGAGCTCTTTGTGAGGTCCAAAGTCAGAAATGTCAGCAGAAAAGGTTCACCTAGGCCTCATTTGCACATCATTCACAGCTCTTATTTTTTCCTTGACAAGATTCCTATTCAGCTTAAGGTTATTTACAGTTGGAATTTTATTGGGAAATGCATAAATCGGTAGGGATGAAATCTTCTAAGCCTCACTCATGCTACTAACCTTAAATAAATGATCCATGTTACAAACTAATTAACAGCTTTTCCATGAATAATAATAGATTGTTGTGCATCATTATATAATTAATGAGAGTACAGACATAAAGTTACTGTTTTATACAAACTGAACTCATAAAATCCACCTTAAACTGTGTGTTGACAGACTGCTTATATGATGTGTGTGTGAGGACAGATGCCTTGAAGGTCAGTAAGCTAAAGGCAGCGTAATGGAGATCTGACCATTGCAGTTTGGAGTGATTAAGTCAAACAAATTCAGAGCACTGCACATGCATCCACTGATGTGCTGACAAAGTGACAGCAGAATAATGATCTATTAAAACACATCCTCACTGACAAGCAATATGACACTTCACACAAAATACTAAAATAATTACTCAACCCATTTACCGTGAGTTTGCATTTGCCATATTTATGACAATGGATCACATTTCCTCATTAAGATAAAAAAAAATAAATTAATTAAATCATTTCAAGAAATGAATGTACAAAGCCTGCCAACAAATATGAAATCACTACCTTTGGTGTTGAATCAGCTGCATTGGTTTGCAATAGAAAAAGATACACTCCCAATTATTTGCATATTTCTGGGGGCGGTGAGCGTGCACAGCCTAAAGGTTTTTAAAGTGAGGTTCTCTGAAGCTTTATGAAATTACATTCCTGTTACCTTGTTGGAAAAGTAAATACATCCTTACAGTGGTAGAAAGCTAACAAGCTAGCTGTTACTTTGCTGTAGCATTTGGCTTGTTGTGGGTATGCCAGGATCATTTTCAAACTATGAGACCTGGAACGCACAGGAACACAGATTCCATAACAGAAAGATACACCTGGCAGCCTCTGTCAAGGTAACACAACAGAAACCCTGTACGGCACCACAATCCTGCCAAGAACTCTGACAAATTCAGAGCTTTTTATTACCGTATTTTCCGCACTATAAAGAGCACCGGATCATATGGCGCACCTTCAATGAATGGCCTATTTTAAAACTTTTTTCATATATAAGGCACACCGCATTATAAGGCGCATAGAATAGACGCTACAGTAGAGGCTGGAGTTATGTTATGCATCCACTAGATGGAGCTGCACTACAGGGAACGTCAACAAAATAGTCCGACTCCGGTCGTCGAGCAGAGCCTTCCGACTGGGCCGGGGCGTGGTCAGACGATGGTCACCCTTCTCCGTTTGCGCACAGCATGTTGGTGGAGAACGTGGTGCTAAATGACCTGCAGACGACCTGATTCTAGACGGTCGGTGGGTAGATAGGTCAGTCAAACTTTATTAATAGATTACAAACCAGCGTTCTGACAACTATCCCAGCATGCACCGCGCGCTTCTTCTTCTACGGGCGGAAATGAAGTCGGTGGCTGCTTACTGTAGTTGCTAGACATGTTGTGGCTCAATATTGGTCCACATATAAGGCTCACCAGATTATAAGGTGCACTGTCGGTGTGTTTGAGGAAATTGAAGGTTTTTAGGTGTGCCTTATAGTGCGGAAAATGCGGTATTTAATTTGCACAGATTAAGTAATAACGGCTCATTTATTAACAGAGAGCCCACATTAAGTGGTTATAGAAGTAGATGAATAGAACATATTTATTCATTGTTTGTTCCCTTTTTACTCCTTGTGTCGTTGCATTGTACTGATCACTGCAGCAGAGACTGTTTATTTGGATCCAAATGGGCTGGGACTGCAGTAGAGTAAATCAGCATGTTGGACTTTATTCTTCATCTTTAAGATTCTCACATTTTATTATTCTTTTCATATCTATTGTCATTTTCAGGTCACAAAGAAATGAAAGATTTTTTTTTTCCTTCTATGTTGTTTTGCTTTCTGTCCCTCCTCCCCTTGTTATTAAAGTCCATCAGATAAGAATGTTACATGAAAAAAGTTGAATAGATGGATGTTTTACAAACCCAGAAGGCTGGAAAACAGTACATGATTACTTTTGGTCTCTCCAAGAGTTGTGATTCCATTTTTTTTAAAGCCAGATGTTGAATCACTCATCTCCCATGCAGCGTATGGAGAATCCATGAACCTGTTGCATTAATAACCATTTATGAGAACGAAATATACTCACAGTTTCGTTTCCAGCTGCAGCAGAAAGCCCTGCTTATCGTACCCTGCAAAGTGAAGACAAACAAAAAGGCCTATGAGTCTGTGAAGCACATGTGTTTGAAATGGCTCATCCTTACTGGGGACGTTTTGTGGACATCCATTCTACATTATTTCAACTATCAGTTCAGTAACTGTAGTTTAAACGACATGTGTGGCTTCCACAGGGAGAACAATGCAGCATATGGGAAAGTAAAAGCATCTGGATTAAGGAGTCAACACAAACAAGCAAGGTTAGGCAGAGGCCAGCCAAAAACCATCTGTTGAGATAAAACAATAAATAAACAAACATTAGAAAAACAGTTTGAGATCACCTATGGGTATCCAGTAGGTGTTTTGAAGAACTGAGGTAGACAGAAGAGCACAGAAACCAGAAGAAAAACATTTGAGGTGAAATGAAAAGTTTAGTTCAATTTCGGAGATGTCAGTGTTCACTGCAGCCTTCCATTGAAAATGATGACATTTCACATTATTTCTATCAGTGAAATAATGTGATGTCCTTCGCATGTAACAGATGTGACATTAATCAAAGTAAAAACTAGCGCAGAATTACTCCTGAGGGTGTGTGTGTGTGTGAGTCTTGCCTTCAAAGAGAAGCTGGCAAACAGAGATGAAGAAAAGGACAATGGGAATGCTTGACAAGTATTTGAGGAAAAATCGAAGCACTGCCGAGGGAGCGTGGTCGCTGACAACAAGCAAGGTGAGGGCATTTGTGTTGGAAATTTACACTGAGAAGCATCACACAGCCGTGGTGAAAGACGAGGCAACATGGAAGATATTAAATCACAGATAAGAAAAATGTTTTGGAGAAAAACTCCTGCTGGCATTTGTATCAAACGGAAAAAGAGGGTAGGGTTATCTGTCTGATTCATCACCAACTGTGAAACTATTTCAATACAAAGCTTTCACTGACAAAGCTTCCTAATTTCTAATAAAAAGCAAACTAGTCTCTGACCACAAATGGGGGTGCGTAACTATTCCAGAGTTTTGTAGGAGTTTGTCATTTCCTTTCTAGCAGAGTACAGAGAGCGAGGAGGTGGAGGCTTTGGCTTGCATGGCAGCACATGTACCTGAGCTTACTATTCGTCCAACGTTGATGTCATTTTCCAGCTCTGAAACAGAAAAGGGTCATTGAGCAGCATTTGAGTTCAGTTAGAAGAGGCAAAATTGGACTTGTAAAACTGAGGCAAACTGCAATTATTCCATATTACAGAACCAAAAGGTGGAGAAGGATAAAAGGTTAGTGGCTTCAGTCCCAGAAGAGTGAATTAGATTTCACAGTGTCAAACTTATGCAAAGTCTTAAAAGCTCCACTGAGGTGGAAAATTAACTGCAAGAAACCCTATTAGTGCCTATGCGATTGCTATGACAACAGTAAATGAACAAATGCACCATAAATGAACAAATGAGAGAATGAGACATTTTAGACAACACACTGTTGCATTTAAAGTTCAGACAACATAAAAACAAATATTAGGGGATCTTATTAGTCAAGTCACTTGATTGAAAACAGTCACGTAGAATAAATGCTCCCAGTTCCTCTACCTGCAATTCTTTTCACTTCAGCACCTTTAGTCAGCGCTACAGACTTCTCCTCTGCATCTTTCTCTGTAAACAGAAGGGGTTAACACTAGAGTAAGACCATTGGTACTGCACAGCAACCGACATCTCAACAACCATTGACCAACACCACAGTAATACAAAGGACTTCAAATAAACAACTTTAGCAAAAACACAGACAGTAGCTTCGTAACAACAAATGCAGACAAGGAAAGAAGACAGTAACAAACAGAAATAATAGGAGTTTTCTAGGTTTTGGTGCAGTCTTAAGACCTCTTCAGACAGAATTAGAAACCAATAGCTCCCCTACGCCACAAATTAGAATGAGCCTGGGACCCTGGGAGTTGGAACAAACCCGTCAGTGCAAAAGGAATACTATGTTGCTCACCAAACAGGTCATTGTGAAGCCCTCAGAATGGAGTTAGACACATCTGCACTAGAAAATCATGTTGCACGACAACATTGCTAACACCATAGACGACACTGACAGTCATAGCAATGTCACTACAACCCATTTTTCACGTGGTAAGCTTGAAAACCTTTGTTGTTGTTTTCAAATGTGGCTGGGTTTATAAAGTCAATGTGTGCAGTCAAGTCGTCTGAAGGTGTGTGGTAAAAGCAAACTAGGCACAGAGGAAGGAGAAAGACTGGGTTTTGTTTGCATGAGCTTAAGACATTTTCTTCCAAATGTTAAAGCTGGGACAAACTTTCTTTAAACTGCAAACAGGTGATCTCTGGGAAGAGCATCTAACTTTTCTTTCCAGAAAACAACAAAACTGTTTTAACCATAGAGGCAGACCAAAAACAGCAGGTTATTATTAAGAGGACTGTACTGGTAAAGTATGTACCACATTAAATTAAGTTGTTCTCATCTCTTAACTGGTAGGTAGTAAAGCAAAGAGACCCCCCAGGATGTTGCAATTTTTTGTGGTTGTTGCGACCTAAAATTTTTCAAAAAGCTGCTGTCAAAGTTGCACATTTTCTTGAGGTTTACTTTTGCCATAACATGGTCTTATAAAACCGCTGAAACTGCTACACATAACCTTCCCTTTTTCTAATCAAGTTCTAATCCCTCCTTACCTTCTGTGGCACTTGTCCTGATCATGGCCTTTGGTCTGAATCCTCCCTGACTCTTTGTTATTACTGTGACAATAAAGATTTCTTTTAAATATGTGGAAAACAATACTGAACAGAAGTTCTGTAAAGAAATTAAAGAAGTTAGAGTGGGTTTATTCCTGGCATTAACTAACTAGCAAGGGGTATAAAACAGGAAACAACAACAACCTCCATATTCTTAAACTTAATATGATATACTGGCATAGGTGAACCAATCATTTAGCTAACATAATCTGCATGCCACAGATAAACAGCTAAAGGAAAAGCAGGGGACATGTCCCAAGCATACCTTGTGTTAGTTACACTCATGACTTTACACAAAATAGGCAAATCCTACAGCACAAAATGGTTTATGAAAAAAAGAAAATAAAAAGAAAAAAAGACATGTTACTGTTTAGCTTTTATTTTGCAGGTTCAGCTTTCAAAAATAATGTTTCCCTGTGGTTAATACAGGCCAGGCCTTTTTAAGAAACCAATGATGGCGTACCTCCATGTGCATGCGCCTCACTCTCAAATAAACCTGGCGCTGTCAAATGTTGTTCCGGTGTGTGTTGCGTAGTCATGTAGTAAAGTTGCAGCGCCACCCCTTGGCCTGACATACCTATTACAGCATTTTCAATTGTGCTGCATCCTGTCCTGCATATGTACATCATTTCTTAATCATCAACAAAAATGTACTATGTGGATGGGGCCCGGGTTGACCAACTGTTGGCCAACACACTGTGGATAGAACCAGTGCTGTTAACAAGGCTCTGAAGGATGCACTAGCCCATTTTTGAATGAATAATGAATACAAATTTGCTATTTTGTACCAATTCATGCTAGATTAAACTCGGAAACCATTGTTTAGGAACACATCAGAGAAATCCAACATTAAGCCCCTGTGCTGATATTCGCCCCGTTGGTGGTAAACCTGGAGATAATAGGTGCAGCTTCAGCACCAGCACAGCCTAGCCTCAGCGCCATATCAAGATGCGTTAGCTTCTCATCTGAATCCAAACTCAGCAGCAATCGCACGCCGTTCTCCATGTGTAAAGGGGCTTATGCATACTGTAGTATTTATTACATAGCTGTAATAAATACAGCTATGTAAGATACATAGCTGTATTTATTACAGCTATGTAATAAATACATAGCAGAGCATTCATGGTCCAATCAAGGTGGTGAGGATAGGAATGAGACAATGCATACAGGGCCAACAAACCACCAATACTACCCAACACTCCACCCATCTACTCCAATAATCTAACACAACGATAATAAACCACAATGGTTGTACTTTGGAAGCTTTGGGCATGCTGAAATCCATTGGACTGTGGTGGAGCATCATGCTTCATGGACAGCCCACTGCATTCTTAATGCACTCCAGAAGGCCTCACCAAGATCCTGCAAGGCTCATTTTTATGTTGGCAACACGCTCATCATGTGTGAAAGGACCATTTATGTTTTTAAGAATTTGGCAAGGAGTCCAAACTTCAATTTAGTTTCAGTTCATATAACTTCATTAGCTTCACATGAAAGAGGAAAGGCTAAACTGCTAATGAGCTAGCATCCCCACAAAAAAAGACAAATATAAACATCCCACTTCAGTCAAAATAACCAAAGAACAGCTGGAATGTCATTTCATCCACATGTCAATGATTAGTCTGGCAACATAAAATCTGAGGGGGAAAAAATAATCTGCATAGATTTTTGTAAAATATAGACATGTATTCTTTTATAACAAATTACGATCACCACGTGACCTCCTCACCATGAGAGCCCAGAAAGATCCAATTCCCCCCAATTAGTAAACTTCAACGGGTCCGGCTGAAACCGTATAGGTGGATCACTACACCTTAGAGACAAGAAAAGGAGATCCCTGATGTTGAAAACCAATCTGGGGTCAAGAATATTTATGGCTGGCTCCTTGTGCAGCTGCTGAGCTCAATGCTAATGTGATTCAGAACAGAGGGCTGGAAAAGCATATGTACTAATGTTAGAGCAATATTAGAGTGACCTACGACAGATTGCCTCAACAACTGGTCTAGACTTGAAAAACTTTTTCAAAAGGTTTTTCTGATTAATGGGAACGGGCATTTTATTTTCCCCACTGTACAGTGTCTCAAGTTTAAACACAATAAATCACACAAGAAAGGCTGCCTCTAAAGGACACTGCTGTGGAAAGACTAGCTTTTCTGTTTTGTTTGTTTTGTTTTTTTTACTTGTTTACATTTCCTCAGAAAAATCCCTAAATGTGTTTTTTAACAACAATAAAAGGAAAATTTTAAATAAATTGTTGTGGTAAAACAGCTGCAAAAATCCATATCAATAAACAGATTGTTTAAGGCTGGGATGTCAAGCTCATTTTAATTTTGGGTCAAATCAACATTATGAATGTTTTCAAAGGGCAGGTTATGCCACAATGCACAACAAATATAAAACCCATTAAAAACTCTTCAAATATTAATAGTTAAATGTATCTGCATTCGATAAGTATTTTTTAAAATTAAATATGGACCATGTTTTCACTGATCAGTCCCACCAGGATTTCATTTTTTTTTTTTGTAATCAAAATCGCTGATTTTGTGTAGCCAATTTAGAAATATTTGCAAGAAATTTTTATATATTTATCTTACATCATGTATTATAGTAAATGTGACTTTTGTTGCTTGCTGTTTCAATCATGGGCTACATCAGAGGTTCCCAAATTGTAGAGCACGCCCCCTGGGGGGCAGTGGGGGTGGGAAGCGGTATGGATGAATGAAAAAAAAACAAAAAACAAACAAACAAAAAACAAAAACACAACAATGATGAATGCTGTGTGTGCGGGGGAGCGGGTGGGGATGTTGAGGGGATGGAAGAGTATGACGGGGAGTCTCTAAGGATCTCTCCCTACTGTAATCCATAGGGGAGGGGATTCTGGTGAAAATTTTTAAATGAACTCACAATTATGCATTAGCATGAAAAATTGCCTCAAAATTGTTGGTTTTGTGGAAATTTTACAAAAAGTGGAGGTTCTATTTCTGTATGCCTCTGGAGTCTAGAGGGCTACATAAAAAGATAGGGGCACATGTGGCCCCAGTTCTTGAGTAGTATGTATGTATGACCATCACTGTGCTAATCTAGAGAAGGTACTTATTTTATGCTTTTTAGCATCTGTCACAAAAATGACATAACTGGGAAGCTGTAGCCATCAGTCAAAAAAAAAAAAAAAAAAAAAATCCAGTGAGCCAGACGCCTCCATCGCCACATGAGATGCCGATTCTGCATCAAGCCTTCAAGGTACACAAAATTCTACAAAAAAATCTCAAGTATTTCATCACTTCCAAAAGGGAAATTAAATGATGATGTAATTCAAACTACATCATCATTTAAAGTTTCTTCAATCAAAGTTTCTTCAATGAGTTGTTGTAGAAGCTAGGGGCTGCAGACAGGAGGGCTCTCCGGTAGCATCCCGTCTTACAGCGACGCATCTGACTGAAGACACTGTAGAACTAAGGCTCTTCAAGATGTAAAGTCCGCTCTGACAACTTTGCTGTTGTGAAAATCTGTTGTGCTGTCCAAGTGTTTATGGAGATATTAATACTCCACCACTTCCACATCTTCTCCCACGACTGAGACAGTGTTTGTGGATTTCAAGACAAACAGGAAAAGTTCAGTCCCACTTTACTTTGTTCACACTGCAGATGAGATGATCACATCCTCACAAAAAGCGGTTCACCAGCTGTCTGACCTCAGTTTTTTATCCGCATCACAACAATACATTAGGACAATAAACAGTTTGGTAATGTTTTAACACAGCTCTACCAACAAAATGCACAAATGCACATTTACTACTAAAGGGGCAGTAGTACATTAAACCCTGAGGTTTATATCATGTTATAATGTTATTTCCTCATCAAAAACAAACCTGGAGTATTGCCTCGATTCTTTCATGCATATCTGACTGTGTAAAACTCCTGGGTGGATCTAGCACCAGCTACGAGACAGCTCCTCCTCGGAGATGCAGTTTCCAAGTCTCTGAGCTTCTGTCACAGAAAGCACTACTCCTCCTCACAGCACCTTCAGACTAGCCAGCAGCAATTAGCAAACACCTGCTGCTACTTCTCAGTGTAATGCTGGTTAAAATCTGTTAAAGGGTTAGTAGGGAAGCCATGTTGTGATGACTTCTTGAAGGCTCAATTTCAAAGTGCTAAATTTTGAAGTCAAATTTATCTTCAGTCATATTTCATATATATAGCATTTATTTAACATTTGATTGTGCTGTAAAACAAAACTATGTGCCTGGAAAATGCATAATACTGCCCCTTTAATCAAATGACTGATAAGAAAAGCATGTGCTCATTCAACAGAACAAAGATGAAATGCAATATTCTCTAAATTCCTCTCTGTCCCAGAGTTCCCTTAAGATATTTTCCATCTCTGACCTCTAAACAAATCTTCTATTGAGATATATTACCCATCATTTTAAATATACATATAAATCCCTTCAGAAGTGAATTTGAACAGACATGAACAGTCTGTGCTCTGACATTTTATGAAAACTAAATATTTTGAAGTAGAGAAGTAAATTACAATGGCTCCATGATGAGTGGTAAGAGAACTTTTTGTGAAAAGCTTTCGCTCCTTGTAAAAAAATTCACTCTCCTATTTAACCAGAAAATAATGCAATACATAAATGTAAATAATTGATACATTTTTAAGAAATAGGTTACTGATGAAAACTATGTCCATTGTTTAAGTGTAGAACTTTAGACTAATGTCCTTGCAAACTATGAGTGAAAAGTGAAATGGTAGAGTACAGATTGCAGAGTAGAGCAGGAAATTCATCAGAACACGAAGAAAGCGGACTTAATCAAAAGATATCACTGGACACAAATATCAAAAGATTTGAGTAACTTGTGGGCTTCCCTGAACAAAATGCTGATTTTCCAGCATTTTAAGTATCAGTGTATGGTTTACACTCACATTCTCAACGAAAAAAAGGTTAAAAAATTCTCTACCCTCCCACCTTTTTCTCTGTTTGTTCTTAAATGTAA